GATGTGGACTGCTCACAGTTGTCTACACCAAGATTTTGTTCTTGAGCCCTTATCAAAGCAAAACAAAAGGGCTGGCAGACAGCAATGATGTTTTAGACATCGCTTATAAATTTAAGAGCTTAAGCAGTTGTTTAAAATTCTTCAGTCACATGACATTTGCCTTGAATCTTGAAACTCTGCTCTCCAGAGATGATTTCCAACTGGGAACCCGTCGAATTCAAGAAGGCTGCCTCCAGGTGACAACTTGATTTTCTTTGGAAGAACAGCAGGGAAGGAGAGGTCAGCTTCTGCAGTTTGTGCAGTTTCTCTCCAGCCAGAGAAGTTCCTTGCTTTCTCAAGAATATCTTGTATGACCTTTCTGGTGACTTTAATTCACCAGACATTTAATTTCAGTAAGGACTTAGATTTTTGTTTGTTTTTAGAATAATTACTTCCTTTATAATTCAAATAAACATTTTCGTCATGACTTGGAAGCATGTAATCTCTCAGAACGTTGGAATTTTACTTTCTCCCACAACTGTGCATTTCTAACTCCTTTGCGTCTATACAATAACCTACCTTCCCCTTTCATATTACTTTTTACTTATGTCACCCTGAGGGGGGACATGCCATAAACTCACAAATCTAATATTTTCACCAGTCAAAACAAAGTGTGTTATGTTAACTTTCTTAGGCAGATGTGAACACATGTGTCCAGCACATGTGAACACATGTGTCCCTGGAGTGGAGGTGAAGAAATCAGTCAGGTCATGGGGGAGGAGGGCCTGACTTGTCCTTCTGGCCCACTGGCATCGCAGGCTGCTGTGTGCCAGGCGTAAATGTCTAGGACGGTGCTGGGCCACCCAGTTCTGAATATATGCTGCTTATGTTTGCAGTCGAGAACAACTGGAGAGCACTCTTCGCCCCACTTTCCTTCCTGGGCATTTAGTCTCTCGGGCTGTCTGAAGGCCCATGAGGCTCTTGCAGCTTTTCCCTTGCCACCGCCAGCTTGCCCTCCCCCAACTGCTCTGAGTAATTACGCTGAAAGTGACTGAAAAGGTTCACTTACCAGTTTTGCTTTTGATGCTTTAATTATCTTTCTTGAGCATGGAAAGTGTCTTTAAGTGATTTCTCTTTTTTTGTGTATGTGTGAGAACAATAACAGCTTATGCTAATCATACAGCTTGTAAGACCGGAAAGCATCACCTTTGGAAAGCTTAAGGAAGATAAATTTGCACACGTTGTTTGGGTAAATGAGAAAAAGAGTGGTTTTGTGTGCTGGAGCTTGGGAATGAGGGCAGTTCCCCTAGCAACACTGTCTGTTCCTTCTGCTGATGTCACCTTCGGTGACAGGGCAGGCTCCCTGGCAGCAGTAAGAACCACCTCAGCACAGTATACTAAGAAAGACCTTAGAGCAGGCTGAGAAGATGGCTCAGTTAGCAGAGTGCTTAGGGACTGAATACATGTGAAAAAAAATAGGTGTGGTACATCTGTTTGTATTTCCAGTGTTGGGGAGGCAGAGATGGGTAGTCCCCTGGGCTCACTGGCCGATCGGTATAGGCCACAGGCTAATGAGGAGATCCTGTCTGTAAAAACAAGGTAAATGGCATCTGAGGAATGATAATGGAAGTTGTCCTTTCTGAATGTGTACCTGCAAGCTCATGTACACCTGCACGCAGAAACACATACACACACACACACACACACCTAGGTACACACGCACAAATAAAAGATAAATGAAAAAGCTCAGAGGATTAAGGAGCATGTTGGTTTTCCTGTATCTGTGTTGAGCCCTGTGCTCCATGTCCTGATCTCTTAAAGATGTTGACAGTAACTTCCTATGTGTGCTGTATCTTTCAGAGTTCCCCAAGGACTAGATGAGTTGATAGAGGCCAGAACATTCTGTAGATATCAAGCAGTGCACAGCACATGGTACCCTGTGGTACTAACTCCTCTCTTCTTTTGGGAGGTAATGAGTGAAAGGTTTATCATGTGTTCCCACCACCTCCATGTGAGGCTATGCTATCACACACATAGGTATTCTTTTTATTGTTTACTGCGCTAAAATAGGCATACCATAAACGTTATCATTTTAACCACTTTGGGTGTGGGATTCTATGGCCCTAACTATTATACATTGTTGTGTAACTACCACCATCTGCTTCTGGGTCCTTTTTATTTTCCAGACCATGTCCCAGTTAAACAGTCACTCTCTGTTTTTCCTTCCTCCACCCTGGTCTGCTTTCCATGTCTATAAACCTGACCACTCCAGGACCTCACAGGAGTGAAACCACATAGCGTCACTTTATCTATCTATCTATCTATCTATCTATCTATCTATCTATCTATCTATCTATCTATCTATCT